CTCTTACGATTATGTACTCTGATGCTTTTTCATCCCGTAAGAAACATTCTATATCGTACACATGTTCTCCCAGTCTCCCCCAGTTCATCTCTACCTCCATCTCTCTCGAGTGCTTCAGACGATCGTACTAACAGTAGTGCCTCGGGCGGAAGTTCTACCGCTGTTCGCTCTTGTTCTACCTCAACTGGCATCCAAGTCTCACCGATTCCTCCACCAGCTGAAGCCATTCTTCGCCCTCTATACCCATTCAAACTAGACATGTTTAATGTGCGTATTCTGATGCGTATAGGACAACAGGCCGATTTAGCTCGTACCCTCGAGATCCTAGCCATCGATGTGTGTTGTATCCCAGAGACTCGCATTCAAGATTCCAGCTCCATTATCCGATTGACGTCCCCATCAAACCCATCAGTGAAGTTTCACTTACTCCTCTCTGGGGACCTTGAGGCTGCGGCTTCCGGTCTTGCTGGCTTTGGCGTGGCTCTCAGTGAGAGAGCTGAGGCCGCTTTCCTGGACAACACAGTTCGCAGGACTCTGTGATGAACTGAAACGGTTCCTAAAAGAGGATCGAGAAACCTGATGGGCACAACGCGCTTCAGAGATGAAACTAGCCTCCGCTTCCGGTAATGCTCACAACCTTTTTCGACTAATCGGAGCCACCGGTAACAAAAAGCAATGCATCAGTGAAACCATACGCGAAATTAATGGCGAATGTATCCACAATCTACCACGTCGGCTTGGGCGCTGGGCGCAGCACTTTCATCAACAATTCAGTTGGCCATCGACATAATCACCTCCATCTCCCGATGTCTGTAGTGCTCCATGGTCTGTGGACATTTCATCGCCTGCGGAGGAAGAAGTCTTCCGAGAGCTCAGACTTCTGAAACGCCGCAAATCGCTTTATAATTACAATTACAGATCTCCGCTTGTTGTTGGCACACTCGAACAGGTTTACGGAAGCCGATGTTTGCAGGGTTCGAGTCAGTTTTGCAGACTTGATCAAGGTCCACTTGATGTCTGCTAGAAGGACTGAGACTGATATATACCATCTTAGGTGTATCGATTTTCACCGCTGTCCTCTGAAACCGATCACTTACGAATACCTATCGGTTGTTATTGACCAGAAATCTCTGCAGTTGTCATGTGGTTTACTTTAGTAGTTCGGTGTTATTGTTGCGGACTGCCCTTTGGGGTAGGCATATCCATAGGCTACTCCATTATCAATTTTTCTAACACTGATGTAAATGTTATCGGTTTTGTGCATAGGCGAACCGAACTTGTATGCATGAGCTAGATGCACTCATAGTGATTGTACTATTTTTTCGGTACTTCTCATCAGGCCAATACAGTACACACAATCGAACATGTATAGACATAACACAGCGTGATAATCTGTAGTGTAGGTACTCATACAGTTATTGTGATGATTGATGTTGAGAACTGTGTCCGGATGGACCAGTCAAGGATGAGTCAAACTGATGTGTCTGTTTCACGATCTTGCTGGCCTCAAGCCAGGGCAGCAGTAGGGTCGTGACAAATTGTTTTTGCAAACACAGTATTGGTTGGTTTAGCCTAATCACGGTCGCTTCGGCTGTGCACAGAATTCTGTCTCACCCCTTTTGATTGGTTATATGCTACCCGGTAGATGACCTTGATTGCCTCCCTACGTGTCAGTTCGTGACCCGTGTCGATAACTGTATGAGTACTTACACTACGGATTATCACGCTGTGTTGTGTCTATACATGTTCGATTGTGTGTACTGTATAGGCCTGATGAGAGGTACCGAAAAAAACATGTCTTTGCCACTTTCGCACTTCTTTGTCAGAACAATGGGAGTATTTTGCGATCTAAGATTGTACTATTCGTTAGTTCCTGTTTTGAATTTGATATCCAATCCGTTAAAGGAGTGGAATAATGTGGACAGAAGCCTACTAACCGACCTGGCGCATTTAAATTTTTCGTTCAAAAGGAGCGGATGGGGGCACGAAATTATGCCTATTTAGTGCGTTCTTTTTCCGGGTAAATGGTAACGCTGCCTTTGAAAGCGTCCGACCAGATTCCAGTTTGTTCGCTGATATCGATTGGTTGTGTCCCGTCTTAGCATAAAGCCTGTTAATTGAGCGATTTTCACCATTGCATAACCGGTTAGACCAAACTAGACAAAGGCGGGGTGGGGCACGTGATGTCCCATTTTTAGGTCGTCTAGTTGGCACAGTGCGCGTTCCCATAAGCCTAGTTTTCGGTTGTATCCTGATTGGTCGGCATACTCCATAGATAAATCTATGGGTTGTCTGTTGAATGGATATGTGAACAAGCAGACGGATGACTGTATCTCGAAACTGGTTCTCGCTAAGCCTCCGTGGATTTACACGATAGACTGAAAAATTGTCACAGTAAGACGGGATCTAAAGTGCGATAATAGTTTTGGCCTTAACAAACAGAACCGAAGCGTCACAATCTCGGATGCATTCCTCTGCTCTTAATCCCAAAATAAACGGCGACTTCCAAAGAAAGATTACGAGCAGGATGGGCGGAACATGCAACAGTCTACGCCTCAGTTCACCGGTTTCCGCAAATTGCTCATACCAAGTAAGTAACTTCGCTCGTGACTGAGTCTTTTTTATCCCACAGCCATACAGATTGGTTTCTCAGAGTCATTTCTTCTTGATCGGAATACTCCCCATCACCTCAAAACGAGGAAGCTTGCTGGGAGCCACATCACTCGTTTCATCAACAAGGCCAATGTCAACGAGTTACACATGTTTCGGTGCCCGATACCGACCACACAACAGTGTCTATCCTCAGTATGACTTGTGAGTTGCCATCAAATTAGAGTCAGGACACGGCCGGAATGAGCGATCACTTGCACTCGATTTATCTTATGTCTTTTTGCATCATCCCAGAGAAATTGTGGTTGCAGTTTGTTAATATTTCTTATTAAGTCGAATAAAGGGTTAGCATCGGTTGGAATGATTATTTTCACAGAAAACTGTCATCGACCAAAACCGGAAAGTGCTTGGTAAGACAACATAGTATTTCGTGGGGTCAGCTGAACGTTATCGTACGGCATCCAGTTGACTTCAAACTGTTTTGAGCTGTCATAGATGTCCAGCCAATAAATGCGGTTTCGGTTTACCCTATGAACTATTTTAGGTCTGTCTTTACGTGGTTTAATTGTTCCACCTCAGAACGAAAAGAACTGTGTGCAATTTGATCTATTGTTACGGAACACAGTCCACTAACGATGGTTCAGCGGGTATAAGATTTATGCAAAAACTTCTCTCTGTAAAACCTTTTGAGTGATGTTAGGTTGTTCCGTTAGGGATTTGATACACCATTGTTTGTGTGCGTCGTATTCCATGTTCGCAAGCAAATCTTGTTTCGCCCAGTTGGCCATAAACTTCGGCATTACATTTCCCTAAACATAGCTCCTTTGGCAGGTTTTGAATATTTTCCTAATCTTCCGTACAGGGAATCAGCTGTGTTTTGTCAGATCTTCATGATCTTGACCAGTTCTTTTTATGACATTCTAAATTTTCTGGACTGCATGCTGTGATCTGGGGACACATCACACCTCATTTGCTTACTCGTTCGCATCAAGTTGTTTTGTCATTGTTCGAACCTGTTAGGACAAGTGAACGATTGGTTGCATGTTGAGCAAATCTGCTGAATATTTTCTCCATAACTCACGGACTGACCATCGCATACATCCCGTGACAGAAGCGTTCCATCCTCTAGCTACGCTGTTTATCTCCGTTTTCACGTACAACCCCGCCACTCAGATTTGGTGGTAGGCTGCTTTTCTGTCGTCCGGTTCAATACCACGCCCAACCTGGAGACCCCTCATGTGGTTTGTCACTCCAAGTCCCGGAGCTTAGGTTTCCGTCACTGAAATACAGGTCTTCAGGACTATGGGGTCCACTCCATTCGCTGTTCATTACACAAAAAGTGTAATAAAAACACGAACATCAGAGGTTTTGAGAATTTAACCGACAACCGTCCACACAAAGACCAAATCTCCAGGAGCGATTGTAATAATTGGAGTACTGTACCGGACTGTTATCCAGTGGTTGAGTGACTCGTAGATACGAAACCCAAGTCTGATTCCAGATAACGAGAAGTCGGTAATCTACGTGTACCATAAGCAGGCAAATATGTACAATAACAAGCACCATATCTCAAATTGTGGCCCTATCCGGTCTCCACGGTACAAGAACAAGATACCAAACCGAACCGAACCGGAGCAAAACCTGTGGCGTGATTAATTTTTCCAACCAAGTCGAGACACCGCCCCACAAAAATAATCACGCCAGCTCGACACATCAAACACTACTCAGTCATGATTCCCCCCTAAGCTACTTACAACACAATTATTTATGCAGGATACATGTAAATACCAACATAATCGATCATTGTCCTCTTTGACCACTTCTTTGTAGCAGCGTACGCAGGCTCTTGATAAAATAATGGTTGTTCTCCCAATGGCCAAACTTGAGGAGTAATCACTGTTTGTACCGATTGTGCCACGCAACGTTCTTGGGTAGTTTCATCCCGTCTAAGAACGACTGCCGTATGCTTCGGTTCCAGGTTCCAACAGTTGAAGATCCTATTTGTTTGATCTGTTGTTTCCAATTTAGCGCGGGAGGTCCCAAATGCGGTTTCGACTTCATTGGCCATAATAGTTCCGGAATTTTGAGCAAGAAGGGACGATCAATAACGGAAGCGGTATCCTTAGCGATGAATGTGCAAGATCTAGGCTTGTGTGATGGATTGTGTGGTACTCTCGTGGAGAGTGCAGACGATAGGTTGGAAGTCTTCGTTATGATAGTGCCATTGGTCATTCGTCAAACCTACTCTTGATAGTGTAGGTACCAATTGCAACCTCGGAGTGCACACATAGTTGGTTGGCGCTTTGTTCATAAACACAGAGCAACTGTTCGTACGTATGGTAATAACGAAACGTAATTGAGAAAGGTAATGTGGTATAGCTTTGTCATAACTAGGCATTAGTTCCGGATCCCGATCGAGCCTTTGTTTCGGATAAGAGAATCTCTTCGTTTTTATCGGGCGGCTCTGTAACTTCAAGCCTGCAGGGAACGGATACATCGAAGGAGCCGTCTGTAGCCAGCCGTGTTGTATCTACCGTCTTCAAAGACAGTTGTTTATCTCTGGTGACCTTATTCTCAACATACATCTCAAACTGTTGAATAAAGGTCCGGTAACTTTTTGGATCGCTAACGATGCTGTTTGGTTCTACTTTCGGTAGGTCCGGGCAATGAACAACCGCGGACGATGTTGACCGTGGTCCAGCAAGTTTTCGAGTTCCGAGTTCGCACTGAGGAAACTCTTTGGCTACCTAGGCAGGTCACAGGGCCTTTTGTACCGGTCGATCTGCGACCGTTTGTTCTGCTCTGCTTCCTCCTTGATTCGTTGTTGTTCCTCCACGGCCACGTCTATCTTGGCCATCTCAGTTTTAATCTTTGCTAACAACAGCTCACGTCGCCTACGGGCCACTATTTCCTGAATTTCCAGCTCTAATTCTTGTTCTACCAGTCTTTCTCTAATTTGGGCCTTGAGCAACTTGAAACGGGCAATTCTGGCATGAGACTTGGAACTAATATCGGAACCATGGCAGGAAATAGCATTATCAGTGACTTGCTTTGTTGCCATGAGTTTGTCCTCTGTTGCACCGGCTTGTTTCCTTGTGAGCGGCATCGGATCTTCAGATCAGTACTCCCGTCGGTGAAGCACAACACTTGTCAAATTCGACTGCGTATTTCTGTCGTCGAAAGTCCTCGAACAGGACCAACAGCTACCGCAAACGTAGCGCGAGGTCAAAGGCAATACAGTATCCTCCAACGGAGTCCGTTGGTTACTTTTTAACGGTCGCCAGACTGAACGAACCTCAATGTATCAAAAAGCCGTCGATCCAAACTCACCTTGACGATAATGAACCTCGTACTGAAAGAAACCAAGGTAATGGTGTGTGTGCTCGCGCATTTGGGACCCCTAATCAGGTGGTCGCCCTGAGATTGGGAGAAAAAAGACGGTTAGGATCGGAGATCCAATAGCAGATCAAGTATTGTTTGCGGTCACCAGAATTTGCACTCCTCCGTAGCACGACGGCAACGTGATGTGCATTGTTTTGCGGTATCTATGCCACGATGTTGCTCCCTTAGATCAGTCCTTTTTAAACAACCTGGTCATTGTGATCAGAACCCGTTATTTAAACGTAATACCTTATTTGTGAGCGGAGGGGTTTCAACATAGGTTACCTGCCTACCACAGAAGTTATGGATTTTCTTTTTATCTGTGAAAAACTGGAGTAACTTACTTAAGACAACTGAGGATGATGCATTGGTGTCAGACAATGCATCCGATTATTAAACAAGAAGTCTAAACTGCTGTTTGGCAGTTTGAAGGGGTTCGGAAATTGTGGCTGATCTAAAGCTAGTTTAAATCAACTGGTTTTGTGGATATATGAGGAATCAATTAGATGTGATTGGGTTCCTCGGTGATCGTTTTGGAGTTCCGCATCCTTACCCATGTCACGGTCAATTTTACTGTCAAAAAGTGTACCCATTGGTTAGAAAGTAACTTTCAAAAGCACTAACGGTGGACTTTATCGAAACTGACTACTGGCGATAATTGAAGTAATTAGTTGCTGAATACGGTTGTCGAAAGTTTTTCCCTTTTTTTTGCATCTGACTGTACCGTATTTCATTTGAGCAAAACCAAAGCTTCAGGAGCCATTTTTTCTCACTGTTTTGAGTATTTCGTGGTAGCTACCGTAAATTGGTTACGGCAACACCTCACTATGTTGCTGTGTTCATTTAATACGTGGTCTGTTTTGATGTCATTCGGGGTTAACGCTGCCCCCCCCCGCAATTGAGAGCAATGGGTAATCTTGCCTATTAGCTGGATTTTATTGAGCATTCTTCTTAATTGCATTGTTTAAGACTGGTATTAGGAAAGCGAGATGAATATATCTTAGAAGCACAGCGTTTTACAGTGAACATCTGTTGTTTCTCTTTGGTCGACACATAACCAACTTCAAGCCGTCTGTGTTCGGCAGTGGTACACACTATTTCTCACTTGGACCGCAGTTGATCTAGTGACTCGACGTCACCAGCCTCCGGATCTGGTTGCCCATCACCCGGATTAGTCCTGTCGACTGCAACGAGTTCTTCCAGACTGTGCTAATCGACAGTCACGTGATTTATCATGGTCACAGTGCTAGTGATTCTTAGTTTAGAACACCAAATTAATTCAAGGTAGTACCGTATCGACAGGACTTGACCTGTAATCAATAATCTGACCGTCATCGAGGTGTACGCCAATGAGCTAATGTGCATGTAGGGTCAGTGGTGTCCGCTACATCGTTTCGTGGTTGGAGTGTTAATCATGGTTTTGAGTAGGAAATCGAAGAATCGTTACCCATTTAGAGTTTTATTGTCAAACAACTATTAGAATGTTTATTTTTCACTGGAGTTTCGTGACACATTGCCCTTTGTACTGAAAACTAGCCTTACTACTAGCTTAGCTACTAGGTACTGTCTGTAAGTGATTTTCATTTTATTTACGACATATATAGACGTTTCTATGACTTGGGTTACTCTTGACTAAATGATGACTGTGGACCGGCGTACTAAACAAAACCATGTGCGCGCACTTTGATCTTCATGACTGTCAAACGAGATCGACCAATCTGATGTACTGCCATCGCAGATCAAACGAAAGAGATCCGCCAGTTTTGATGAAGAGTTTCATTAGTGTGTTTCTTTCTTATCGAAACGTAAGTCAAATTTTCTTATTATTAACAAGAATAGAAAAATTGAAGGTGACGAATACGACAGTTGCGCCGATTATTTAGTTCCAAGCAGATGATATTAGACTGGGGACTGAGGAGAGCGCAATCACTGTGGCTGTGTTACCATGGCGCGATATTTATCAAATTGCCCAGATTACTATTACTAATAATGTGTATTGTTCGTTACACTAAATTATTCTTCTGGGAATGTTCCGACAGTGAGTTGTACCCCTGATGCGTGCCCCACGAGTTTCAGTCCCGATGAGTAGCGGTGACTAAACCACCGTTCATTTCCGACCGTTTCCCTCTAATGCAAATCGCTTTTACGCATTTCATCTTTCCAGTCGGTCGCATCATTGATTTGTTCAAAATACGTTATACATATACAAATATATTAGACAACACAAGCTTCACTTTCATGTCAGGGAGTAGATTCAAGTTAGATCAAACTTGAAGAACCATTACGACGATTCAGTTAGTTTTTGTGGGTTCGATTTGTCTAACTTCGGCATGCTCGACACCAGAGTGTTTATAACAAGTATTCTATGAACTCATGGAAAAAAATTATAAATAACTAAATAAATAGCTTTGGAGCGATGCCGAACAAACAAGGGGTTCTTGAAAGGGCATGTTTACATGTTCAACTCTGCAGTGACAAACCTCATACATCTCGATAGTCGCAAGTGACAATGAAGAAAACAAAAAACATACTGCCTACAGCTAATCAGAATTTCGCCATAAACAGACATGATAATCCTGTATGCGGTCTCGGTATATTTTATTTCTTAATTGTACCATAATTCGTTCATGAATAACAAAGACATCGCAATAAAATAAACCCACGTAACGTAGAAAATAAAACGTACCTATGTCTCCGGTACTGTTCAGCCACTCGCAGGAATCAGAAGGAGACCAGGGCAATGGATTCAGGTCACATTTTCTTGTTCAGCTACTCGTTTTTACTAATCCTCCCAATAAACTGCCAACGAGAGTAGCTGAAAAGCGCCAAGGTTGTGTTTAATTATTTTCGATTTTCTAGACTAAAGTTTGCTGTTTATTAAAGTAAGTCTATCCCACGAGATTCACCAAATATCCAAGGGTGTAGGTTGGCTTTTAGGACCAACATGGTACTGAGATCCATCCGTTCCACCACATTGGTGTTCATAAAATGGATGATTCAGTGTCATCATCGGTGTATCTGCGGTTCTTAGCTGGACAACATTCGGATTTTCGGTTATGGATTTCTCGGGCAGACTAGGGGCTTTCAATTTATGAAGATGCTCACTGTTATGGCTTTTTCATAGTATCGAAAAATGGTTGAGAGGGTGAATGAGCTTCACTATGTCGACGGCTATAACTGGACCGGATGTAGCATCCATGTACGTTTTTCTTGGTTAGATAACCTTTCAAATAACGCACCTCGGAAGAAGTATCGGTAAAACCCGTGGCTTCACTTGGCTTGAACTCCGCGAATGTCGACACCCAATGCAGAGTGGAGTTAAACCGATCCAGATTGAAGACAGTCCAGGTCAAGTACACTGGAAAAGACCTGTCAGTCGCAATAACCAGAGAACGAAACAATCGCGGTATGATAGCTTATACACATCTCTCTGACTCAACGAGCTGTACAAGATGGCTTTTGTCAAGCCAAAGATCTGATCATGCCTGGATGCTCAGAGGGTAGAGATTAGGCAAAGTGCAGTATCCTGGTCATCCGGTCGGGGGTTTGACTAGACTTGGCGTTTCAGTCGGTAAAACTCTTTGGAGGATTAATTGATCCAGTAAATGGGCCTCCACTCCACCTTACACGCCGTCTTGTGATTCGGTCCTTATCGGAACCAAAGGCTTTGGTTTAGAACCCTAATCGTTTTCCTGCTTAGCGGTACCCGTCCATAAATCTCCAATCAATACACAACCAAAAATACCCATACTGCATCAATCATCGCGCAGGATAATCAGGACCGCGCTGCCCATTGCATCGAGCGGGGTGGGTAGTGACAAATGGGATACTACTCAGCTATCCCAACCTTCGTTTAACTCTTTATCTTCTATACCCAATGCTCGTCGTTTGACTCTTTTTCCAACCCATAACATTCCACTAAACAACTTGTTCTCCACTCGCCAAAGGTTATTGCCAAATAGCACTGTAGGTAGTTTGCCACTAAATAATTTATACATTCTGAAGCCTCATCAACCTCTGAATCTGGGGGCCTTCAACGTTAGGACTCCGATACAAGTGGTTCAACAAGCCGGTTTTGCGTCCAGGTATCGGTTGGACAGCAACACCAAAAGGTGCTTGTTCATCAATTCTGCATATGCGTCAACCAGCTGCAGTCCTAATTCATGGAATGACGAATTTTACGACAAACTCACCGAGCTCATTCGATTGAGTCTGATCTCTGATGTTTTGCACAGCGCAGGTTGGAAAACGGAGCGCATCCGAAACATGTCTAGGGGTCGCTTCGCTCTTATTCCTAGCGAACTGACATGAAAGATCGAGTACTGCAGTTCTGAGCCGACCAACCCTATTTCTTATCTAATACTAACTTTCGTCACAGCTCTCGTTGAACTGCAACATGATGTTCTATTTCAACGGGTAAGTTGAACTAAATTGATGACATAGATGCAGGCTACCGATGGCGTGGCTCAGTACAAAATAGCAGATTCTATTGAACTGCATGCGTTAAGATTGATCAAATGCTAATTCTGAGGCGCTTCACGCTTCGCATCATCGGTCATCCGTGGAAATCGCCTCCACAGTTAGCTCATCATCGTATGCGCGATCCATCTGTTTGTGCACGTTATGAGGAGAGGCTTGGAGCACCGCCAAGGGATGGATTAAATCAACAGTGAGATCAAATCAGATGTGCAATGCATTCGCTACAAACTTTGCTTGTGTGACTGA